GGGTCCAAGGCAGGGAGTCGGGTGAGGTCAGGAACTCTGGCAGAAGAGCAAGACAAGGTGCAGGCAGGAACAGGCTACCAACAATGTTGCTCCCGCAACCTGGGATTGGGGCTGGCTGGCTTTTATCTGCCCTGAGGCATAGGGCAGCCCTGATCCTCAGGTGAATCGCCCCTTCTGGCCTGGAGGCGAGCACTCCTCCTGCAGGAACTTAGTTCCCTCCGCCTCTCTGCCCTGAGCCTCTGCAGCTCAGGAGAGGCTGGAGGGTTACCGGACCCAGAGGCAACCTGAGCTTCCCCTGGCGGGGCTGTGAGTGGAGCACCTGCAGACAATGGGTCCACCACCACCTCAGGAGCCAGAGCAGACTCAGCTGGTGCCTGCACCTGAGGATCCAGCACAGGTGAGGACCCTTCAGGCTCAAGTCCCAGCCCCGGCTCAGCTGGTTCTGGAGGCGGGGACTCCTGTGCAGGCTGGGATTCCTCAGGTTCAGCCTCCGAGTCCGAATCCCAGGCCATCACACCCAGTTTTAACAATGAGTCCGTAAGTGACTGTGGAGGCTAATGCTGGATCCACATGTCCTTCCACAGTGGGGACATAGGTTTCCAGGTGGGAGTTGATCACGGTGAAGGTTTGCCAAGCGTGCCTTACTTTTAGCACGTTTCTCCCTTTTGTCCTGAGTTCAAGCATCTTCAGAGTCCATGATACCTTTGGTAAAGGCTGTTCTCCAAATTGGAGCACTCGTAGGCCAGTGTCTCCCAGTTGTCGGTGTTTATACTACATCTTTTTTAATTTGCCATGAGAGAGTCTTTAAACCTTTTTTGTTGACCACCAGCATTACGCTTTCCATTTTTAAGTTCGGAATAGAGTAGCTGCTTTGGAAAGATGACAATCAGGCATCCGTACAACATGACCAGTCCAACGAAGTTGATGTTGAAGAACCATTGCTTCGACACTGGTGATCTTTGCTTCACAACACAGATTTAAATCACACGATTGATTGATTGATTGATTGATTTTATTTATTTATTAGATTTATATACCACCCTTCAACATAAGATCTCAGGGTGGTTCACAGAATGAAAAAAAAAAACCAGGATAAAAACAAGGAAAGAAGTCGAACAAAACACCATGGGTGTCACATAAAGCACACTCAATGCACATTGAAAGCACATGGCTGCCCCCAAAGAACCCTGGGAACTGTAATTCCCCCCTGAAAGAGCTACAATTCCCAGCCCCCTGAACAAAGTACGGTTCCCATGGGGGGCAGCCATGTTCTTTCATTGTGCATTGGTTGTGCTTTAAATATACAGTGTGTGTGGTGTAGTGGTTAAGAGCAGTAGTCTCGTAATCTGGGGAACCGGGTTCACGTCTCCGCTCCTCCACATGCAGCTGCTGGGTGACCTTGGGCCAGTCACACTTCTCTGAAGTCTCTCAGCCTCACTCACCTCACAGAGTGTTTGTTGTGAGGGAGGAAGGGAAAGGAGGATGTTAGCTGCTTTGAGACTCCTCCGGGTAGTGATAAAGCGGGTTATCAAATCCAAACTCTTCTACAGCCCTGCTGCATTTGCCTCACCCTCAGGTAATGTCTGTCCAGTTCAGAAGGTCAGCTTGAAGCTATGTATGTGCCTCCTCCTCTTCTGCTCACCTTTATATCCTGCTTCTGTTGTGGAACCAAGGTGTGCATATGGTTCCCAGGCAGCTCCTCTCATCGCCAGGTGTTGATCAGATCCAGGGTTCTTCCAGATGGGGGCTTTCTTACGCAGACAGGTCATTCAGATTTGCGAGCGGCAGTGGCGTAGCGTGGGTTGTCAGCACCCGGGGCAAGGCAAGTAATTTGCGCCCCCTAACCCGTGGATTTGCGCCCCCTAACCCTAACCCCCAGATGTTGCGCCCGGCCCCCCTGCACCCCCCACACTACGCCACTGGAGGGACTCCCAAGAAGGTGAAGCGGGACTTCACCCCAGGGTATCTCGGAAGCCCTCGAGGCAGCGACGCTTCCACCCCCTGGAAACAGCAGGAAGGTGCCCCGCTCTTGTGCCCCGGTCCTGCTTTGAGTGCTTCTCATTGACGCGTCTGCTTGGCCACTCACTCTACATGGGCCCTTGTGGCCTTGATCCAGTAGCCGGGTCCTTCTTTGGAAAGAGCGAGCGCCTCCCTCCGCCCCCGCCACACGGAGCTCAGCCTGCACGTGGGCATGGCGCGCTGCTCTCTCCAGCTTCCTCCCGGCCGGGCCAGCGGCTCCACCTCTTTTCCTTTGCCTTTGAGCCGCTTAATTCCCAGCAAGCAATTAGCAGGCTCGCTCCTCCTCCTCCTCCTCCCGGCTTTGCTGCTGCTGCTGCGAGGCTCTTTTCCTCCACCGACGGCGCGCTGCGCCTTGGAGAGGTTCCCGCTTCCTCGAGGGGGGCCGGCCAAATGCGCCCCCAAAAATGTTGCGCCCGGTGCGGCCGGCACCCCTGGCACCCCCCACGCTACGCCACTGGCGAGCGGCGGTGATATGTGACTGTTCCTTCAGTCTCACCTTTTCCATAGGCATCCCACTGCTTCCTGCCCACGCTTATTTTCTCTTTCTCAATGCTATGTATGCACAGTTACCTTTCTTTCCATTTCCCCATTATTAGCTTGCTGTCTATGAATTCTGAAACTTTATGAAACAGAAACATCCTTGAAGGTCTAACTGCATCCTGCTGGCCCCTCTGTGTGTATGAAATCACATCTAACGTTATGTGCTATTCTGTCCAAATGTTGTTGTGCGGTGGAACCTCTGTGTTCCTGGGGGTGGGGGGGGGGAGAATCTTTCTACTCTAGCATGGAAGAAAGAAGGGCACAAGCCTGCCTAAAGGCACCTTTCGCAGGAAGGTTTTTATTAAAATTAGAGGAGAGATGGAGCCTGGGTGAAATTGCCGGGAAAGAAGGTTGGGGGGGGGGGAGATGCCCCATCTACCTCCTTACTGCCTTCTGAGATAGATTGTTCAACATGAAATATGCACCAAATTGCGCGCTGCTCTATATAGCTTTCACAGTATTCTTCTTCTTAAATAACCTTAATGACAGGACAGCTGGACTGTGAGGCATTTTGAACCCCCTCTGCAAATTATGCAGGGAAATGATGGAATTCATTAGAAACTGCTTATAAGTTCATTAGAAATTGCTTACCTCCCCCACCCCCTTTCCCCCCCAAGGCAGATATATGTGTGTGTGTGTGAGAGAGAGAGGGAGAACTGCACAAGGCCAAAATTCTCTATTTCCTTGTATTCTTTCCCCCCATAAAAGAAAAAGCTAGGCTTGGAAACGTGATTACCATTAGTGGAAAGAATGTAATAACATGGGCTGAACAGGGTTCTTCCACGTACTGCATTATGTCCACTTCATTATAAAGTAGAACTGGGAAGAAAGGAGCTCTGGGATTGCCATCTAAGATTTCAAATCAGCAGAGAGTCAGTTTGGGACTTTCCAAAAAAAGGTGCAGCTCCTAAAGTGAGATCATCTGCAGTACTGTACTCTGCTTCTCCAGTGGGAATTTACGAGGGTGGGGTGGGGGCTGCAACAAAATGTTGCAGTGCAGCATTTTATCCAGTGCGATAAGAAATACAGTTATTTACTTGTAAGTAGATGAGAAAGTAAATGAGGGGAAAAAGGAAGAGGTGATAGGAACCAAAAGCTGTCTTTTGTCTGTCCGGTGACTCCCACTATAAATAATCTAGTGTAATGTGCTCTTACCTGCAAAATCCAAACCAGGGTTTTTTAACCACAACATGGTAGGCATCTGACTGAAGGCTAGAGGTGAGAAGGAAATTTGATTTGCATTTAACGGGACATCTCCCTAATGCATGCTTCCCAGAACAAAACAAATTATTGCTATTGTAAGTAGTGGTGGTGTTCTCATTTTTAGTTGTTTTTCCCCACATAAATTGACCCAGAGCAACCTACAAAATAACACAATTATCAACACCAAGTATAAGAAACCTGGGCCGATACAGTGGTGCCTTGGTTTACAAACTTAATCCATTCTGGAAGTCCATTCTTAAACCAAAGCATTTTTAAACCAAGGTGTGCTTTCCCATAGCAGAGGGGGACTCAATTTACAGATGGAACACACTCAACAGGAAGCGGAACATGTTCTGCTTCCAAGGCAAAGTTCAGAAACCCAAACACCTACTTCCGGGTTCGCAGCGTTCTTAATCCAAGTTGTTCATAAACTAAGCTATTCTTAAACCAAGGTACCACTGTAGTCCAGCAATTTCTCACTCCATGTTACCCCGTAACAGAGAAGATTGACAGCTTGGCTCCACCCACGTTGGTTGTTTAATTCCCACCTTCCAGCCCAGTGGGATTCCTGACCTATGCAGTAGCAGCATGTTTGTGAGAGCCATCGAATTAAGGCACCCCATTGGCATATTAAAACGTGTGCTGAGTTGCCCTGACACTGTATTCCTTTGCCACAATGGCGGATTCAGAGGTTATTTCAGAATTGTTCTTTTGAGACAGCTATAAACGCAGAAAGAAAGGCAGTCCTGGCTGTTTGTTGATGCCCTCGGAGTATTCCGCAGGTCACTGGGAACTCTGTGGTCCACATTGTATTTACTGCTTCTCTTAAGGTTGTATAAAATTATAATTGATTTGTGGTTGCTATTAAACCATCCTCTGGTAACAAGTTTAAAATTGATTGCGAGCCCCTTTGAGACGTATAAAGAAATGCAACATTAAAAACACATTTAATCCGGCTTTGGAATCCATATGTTTCTTTTCGTGAAATGAGACTTCAAAAGCTGCGGTTTCTCTGAAAGCCTGCACAAACTCCGCAGGTGACGCCATAAATAACCTGGCAATCAGTAATTTTTTTTACCTGTCATCTCGTGGAACCATAAACTACTTATTGTACCATTTCACTTCACGTGGCTCCAGCAACTATTAATGTATGTGTACAGTAACTTGTAAAACATCTAGTTATTATTCTGCCCATATTAGCTCTTTCATGCTAATGATTTATTTTTCATTTTCTCCAGGATATAGACCCGCAGCTAACTGGAATTGATTTATAAGTGGGGAATCGGCAGCAAAGGGATGCTCTCTTCATATCGCAACTGTGGAAAACAGAATTGGCAATTGAATGTCGCCTGACCAATAGGGCAGAGTGAAGATGCTGCTTCGGTGGGAATGAAGTCACGGGGAGATGCCTGTCGTGTGCAGAGGCTTTTGAGAGTTTTCTGACAGGCTCCCCTTCTGGAGGCTTGAGCCATCCATTTCATTTCCCTGCCCCCTTGCCAAGAGCACTGCTTTACCCTCTCCCTCCCCACCCAGTGGATACAAATAAGATTTGCTCCAACCACAGCAGGGCAACTGATGTGGGACCATGGCTTTTCCAACATCCATGTGGCTGAACTGCGTGTGGAGAGCGATGCTGGTCCGCCTGCTGCACATGGGATTGGACGCCACCTTCACCCTCTGCATACTCGGGTTCTTGCTTCACGCCGCCGCTGTCTCGTCGCAAAAGTTGGATGATACCGACCTGGTGGTGACCACCAGCTTCGGGAAAGTCAGGGGGATGAAGAAGGAGTTGAACAATGAAATTCTGGGGCCGGTCATCCAGTTTCTCGGGGTGCCGTACGCCGCTCCTCCAGTCGGGGAGCGCCGATTCCAACCTCCTGAACCCCCGTCTCCTTGGCCAGATATCAAAAACGCCACCCAGTTTGCACCGGTGTGTCCCCAGAACATTATAGAGGGCAGGTTACCTGAAGTCATGCTCCCTGTCTGGTTTACTAATAACTTGGATATAGTTTCTACCTACGTGCAAGAGCAGAACGAAGACTGTCTCTATCTGAATATATATGTCCCAACTGAAGATGGTGAGTTATTTACAGGAGAAGCAGGGAGATCTTTTTGTTTCGACTTTCCTATTGAAGTTCTTTACTATTAAATCATGTGTACTGGTAGCCAGCACGGCTTTCTTGTCTGCATGCCAGCTTTTTCTTCCCTCCCAACTTCCTTTTTTTACTTTGTTTCACATCTATGCATGTGGCTTTTCTATGTATGCACCAGTTCTAAGCCTCTACTACCGTCCCTTCTCCTCTGATCTTGTCTCTACTCATTTTCCTCGTCCTTCAGCACGTGTATTTCTTAGGTCAAAGTTGGTACCTAAATGCTCATTCCCACCCATTGACTTCTGGGGAGAGATGCATCAACATCTTGATCCATTGCATGGGTAGGCCAAAGGAGTCGGGACTCAACCGAGTAAATAAATGACGTCAATAAGCCAGGCCATCTTGAGCTTTAGCTAGCGGTATTGCATGCTCCTACTGTCTTGTCACGGAGCTCCATGTTATTTTCTAGTCTTCTATTCATTTTTCAGTCAAAAGAATATCCAAGGAATGTGCCAGGAAACCCGGCAAGAAAATTTGTAGAAAAGGAGGTATGTATAAAGTGGGCACCAATAACAGAATAAAATCGAAAACTGGGTTGGAGAAACAAGAGAGAAAGATGGAAACTGTGCAGAGGAAGACCAAGTTAGTGCATCTTAAAAGGAAAAAACCAAACAAACGAGACTGCTGTTGTTTATTATTGCAGTGCAGGGAGAAGATATAGCTTGTAACCAATGAGCTTGAAAACCGGTTAAATAGGGGGCAGTTTAAAAACAGCAGCATGAAAAATAACTATTCCCTCTTTCCCTCTGGAAACATAAAGACTGAATCTCACTCCCTTCCTCTCTTGTTCTGGCAGATTTGAGAGTTTGTTTGCACGTTAGTCTTGATAGTTAGAGGAGTGAAGCTCAGAAGTGGTTGATGTTTTTGTCCCCTTGTGGACCCAGCGATGTCGCATATTGTCCAGTGAGTTCACACCTTGGACCTCTGAGGATCCCCTGAAACTCTTTTAGTTTGTTTGCATTTGCCATAGAAATGGTCATATGTTTGATCAGTTATAGTTCACATAGCAATTTCCCCCCTATTTCTTTTCTTGCTGAGCTAGTAGAAATGTTGAATATAAGTTTATATGCTGGGATGATATGGTGATACTGCGTTTATTATTTTTATAATTTATATAAGAGCAGAAATGCACTGGTTAGTTTATGCTGCACTTCATTGCCACTGCATATATCTGAATCTAAGCTGCAAATATACCAGAGATGAATACATCCCCAGTTGCCACTTGTAGGGATGCAAGACAGAGAATCTCAGTTTTTCAAAATTCAAGGGAGCGTTTTAGATTTCTAAGAGTTTTATTCCAAAGTTGAATTTCCTCATATTCTTCAATACCTTTTGTATTCCAGTTTGGGATGCAAAATTTCAGATCCAGGATTCAGCAATAAAATTTATATTGTTGATTGCCTAGGGTGGGGAACGTTCAGCCGGTGAAATCTAAGTATGAATTTCAGTCCTAAAATGCATGGATTAATTGTTCATTGATTGCACCAGAAGGGCAATAAGTAATAATTCCTCTTTCTGCTACAATCTGTTTTGCGTAGGTATGGTATGGGAATGAGTTAACTTGGCGTTAATCCTATTGGTGGTGTAACTAACTACTGTGAAAAGCAATCACTTGTGATATGAAAAAAGTGGGGGGGGGAGAGGAAGGTTATTGCATGTTCATTTACATTACTTGTACTGTGCCAAATTTTCTGGAAGTTTTCTATCTAATACACACACACACAAATTTTAAAAGGCAGATTGGTTTAAATATAGGAAAGCAATGTAGCATAATTTTGTCACTATAATCTGGAAGGTCCTGTTTTTCGCTACTTTTTCTTTCATACAACTTGCCTCTTTCCTGCTGGGATTGTAGGTTCTGCGAGAAAATGCCTTTGAGAATGTTTGGAGATTGCTAAGCTAACCGCATACATTTTTATCTACCTGTTTCATTTTTAAACATGGGGAAATTATCTTTTTGTTCACTGGAATTTGAAAGCACTGAATCACCTGCTTCTATTATGATTTAGATGTGTGAGGGAGCCTGCCTAGAAGGGGGTCTGCTGAAGGCAAACCCACACGTGAAGAAAAAGCGCATCATACATCTGTCTTGGGGTTGTACCACTTGAGAATGTAGGTGGACAATTCCATGCTTGATCACTCTCCCACTTAAAGCAACTAAACCACCTCCTCTCTAATTTGCTATCTGCCTTTGAGCAGTAAGTTTGATGTGGGAGAGCCATCAAGTCATGCAATTCCTCTACCTAGAGGTGTAAATTTCAGAAGTGTTGAAGCTATCGACAAAAATATTCCCCCCTGGATATTTATTTTTGGAGGGGGCTGGGGTGGGAGCTGACTAATAGTGCATCCCTCTAGATCAGCCTTTCTCAACCTGTGGGTCCCCAGATGTTGTTGAACTACAACTCCCACCACCCCTAGCTAGCAAGGCCAGAGCTCAGGGATGATGGGAATTGTAGTCCAACAACATCCGGGGACCCACAGGTTGAGAACCGCTGCTCTAGATCAATGCAGTCCACACGGTTTCAGGCAGGAGACTTTCCAGTCCTATCTGAAGATGGCAGAGATTGAACCTGGAACTTTCTGCATGCAAAACAGATGCTCTACTGCAGATCTATGGTTCTTTTTTGATGGAGATGGGCTCCTGGAAATAAATGAAATATAATCAATGCCTCCTTAACTTCTTTAAGGACATGTATTGCAGTATAAGGCTTAGTCAGAAATAAGTTTCACTGTTTTCAATGGGATGTACGCCCAGGTACATGTGCCCAGGATTGTGGCCTTAGCAGGTAAACATGATGACGTTTGCCATCTTTATGCTATTTAGAAGTGTAAATGCACAAAACCTATAGATGGAAATGCAAGCTGGTAGCTTGCATATCTTGGTAGCAAAGTGTATTTTAGTTTTTGCAAGACAGGAAAAGACGAGGAAATGAAAATAGACACAATGAACATTGTAAAAAGGAAGGCTTTGGTCATCTGGGTGTGGACATTGTGGGGAAAGATCTGGAGAACTTTGCAAATTATCTGCATGCATGAGGAGGCTTTGGGCATGTATCTGAGGACAAGCATCCCCCCTTTTGTTGTTGTTGTTGTTTAGTCGTTTCCAACTCTTCGTGACCCCATGGACCAGAGCACGCCAGGCACTCCTGTCCTCCACTGCCTTCCGCAGTTTGGTCAAACTCATGCTGGTAGCTTTGAGAACACTGTCCCACCATCTCGTCCTCTGTTGTCCCCTTCTCCTTGTGCCCTCCATCTTTCCCAACATCAGGGTCTTTTCCAAGGAGTCTTCTCTTCTCATGAGGTGGCCAAAGTATTGGAGCCTCAGCTTCAGGATCTGTCCTTCCAGTGAGCACTCAGGGCTGATTTCCTTCAGAATGGAGAGGTTTGATCTTCTTGCAGTCCATGGGACTCTCAAGAGTCTCCTCCAGCACCATAATTCAAAAGCATCAATTCTTCGGCGATCAGCCTTCTTTATGGTCCAGCTCTCACTTCCATACATCACTACTGGGAAGACCATGGCTTTTACTATACGGACCTTTGTTGGCAAGGTGATGTCTCTGCTTTTTAAGATGTTGTCTAGGTTTGCCATCGCCTTCCTCCCAAGGAGCAGGCGTCTTTTAATTTCGTGACTGCTGTCACCATCTGCAGTGATCTATCCCCCCATAGCACATGGCAAGCTCTTGAAACAGAAGTTTCAAAAGCAGTTTGAATTACAACATTGTGGGAAGAAAATAAATAAATAAATAAGCAAGCAAGCTTACTGGGCATACACAAGCCCTTAGACCTGGTTAGGCGTGGATTACATGCAACACAGCCTTGTGGTTTAGCTCTCTCCAGGAGCTGCAACATTTAGAAGTTATTTTCCAACATTTGCAGTGTTTCTTGTTTAGTAATCCAGTGAAACAAAGTAGCATTTATTCATTCAGCCCTTTCTATACCACCCAATTAACTAAATCCTCTGGGTGGTTCGGAAATGTTAACAGGAAAAACAAAATCAAGAATAGGAATGGAAAATATAGAAACAAAGATAACCATTATAAATATAAACCTAGGCTGGCACAAATAGTGGCAACAGGCCATTTCAGAACAGCACAGAATCACCATGAAAACGGAGAAACAACACAGTTCTCCTAGCCGTCATTCGTGCACCTACATTCTGAAGTGGTACTGTCATAGGCGCCGACTCCATGGGGCTTGAGGGGGCCCGAGCCCCCTCAAAAATTCGTTTGGGGGGGCTCCGCCCCCCCAATAATCTCCGGCGCCCCTCCAGCAGAGCGCCATCGCCGCCCCTCCCCCAGCCCAAAATGCACAGGGAGGGGCGGGCTGCATGCCTCCTGCCCTCCCTCCCGAGCAAAAGCTCCACCCAATTTCCTTTGGAGCTGATTAATAGGCGCAGCACGCTCTCCCCTATTCGCTCACGAGGAGGCGGCGCCACTTTATTTGCATATTCATGAGCTTATTTATTATTCATGAGCTTTCCCGGGCCCCCCCAATATTTTTTATAAGTCCGCGTCCCTGGGTACTGTCCAAAGAGGGCTGTACCATTTGCTTTTTCTGAATGTGTAGGTAGCCCCTCAGTCAGGGCTGTCTTTAGCATATGTGGCGCTGGGGTGCAAAAAACTGCCCAGCACCACCATTTTTGGGTGGGGCAGACCAAAGTTGTTGAGCTTTTTTGGGGAGCGCAACTCTCTCCCATGCCGCTCCGGGTGGAGAGAGGAGAGCAGACCCTACAGAGGCTTGGGAGGGAAGCTGTGCGCCTCATGTGAGCAGCAGGAGGCGCGCAGGAGGGCGGAGCCAGCCGGCTGCCTCAGCATCCACAGCAGAAAAGCCTCTAGCGCTCCGACAGACTCTGCTGTGCTCGGCAGCGGCTGTCGGCTGGCCTGGCTCTTCAATCCCCGGACTCCTTGCGGCCCCGGAATCTCGGCCTGGTGCCCCTGAGAGCCCAGTGCCCAGGTGCCCCGCACCCCTAGCACCTATGGGTGAGCTGGCCCTGTCCTCAGTGCTTACATTAAGCGCTTCAGTCTTATTAATGACTGAATTAATGGGTGTGGGTAGGTGTGCATACTATCAGAAATAAAGCACAATGGCAACTGGGAGGAGGGCTGTTTCAGTGATCGATTTCTTGAATAACCGCTTGCACTGATACCTATGTTTCATGCCCTTTGGTATACCCGGTAGGACTATGGCAGGAGTTGCATTGGCTGTGAATTCTGTGTATCTCGCTCCTAGGACAAAATCCCCTCCATGGACACAATGTCTTCAACTGGTGCAGGAATCAAAGGTACATGTGGTGGTTCAGAGGGGTTCAGAAACCAGTGCATTCAAAAAATGCACAAGGGCCACACAGGTGACTCCTGTCTTTCCTCACCATACCACATGGCTATGTGACTACTGTCTGTGGAATTAGGGCACATGAGAAGGAAGGCAGTCCTGATTGGTTCAAGAGCATCCCCCTCCCTTGCTAGATGGATGTGCATGTATGTAAGTTGGGACTTGCACAAAGCCTTTTCTTGTGTACTCAATGCACAGATGGTGTGTGGCTGTCACTAACATGGGCTAGACTGTGTGGCTCAATGACCCCATTGGATATGTGGGAGAGGATTGATTGATTGATTGATTGATTGATTGCATTTCTGATCCTTCCTTCACCAGGAGTGAAATCCAGCAAAGGATAATGCTGCTGCTGATTAATAGTAATAATAATAATAAT